TTAAATTCAGGTGGGGTATACACCAGGTCATATTTTGGCTCTCGTGGACTTGTTTTCATTTTCTTCAGTTTGATTTTGCATATGAGTAATTGATGGTCTGTTCCACAGTCTGCCCTGACCAGCCATAGTTGGGATTATTCATGATATGACACTCCTTTGATACTAGTCTCACAGTTTTTATAAATTCACATTGTGCAGTAGAGTGAGTTACGCAGTATTGCCCTTCTAGCCATAGCCTTCATAATGCCACCAAATAACTGGGTGGGACTATGCAAATTAGATGCTTGTGGACCACAAAGGTTATTGGGTAGCTCACAAATAATATAAATAAAGTGTACAGCACCCTTGTGGTGGTGGTGTTCTGTGCCATTGTTTCCAATTCAGTGACCTTGTATAGGGTTTTTGAAGAGTAGCTGGTGAGTTTGAACCGCCAACCTTGATGTTCAACCCAACCCTGCAATCTAGTGCTTATCCCGCAGCACCACAGTGAGACCATACAAATAAATTGTACAGAATCCTACTGTGGGGGTTGTTGGGTTTGGCTGTTAGACTTAACAATAGCCACTCCAAAGGCAGAAAGTAGGTCCTCACAACCAGCAAGAAAGATGAGCCAGGAATGGGGCATATCATTTGGATAGAGGATCCTACACCATAAATCTCTCAGGCCAAGGAGACAAAGAGAGCTGTAATCCCAGAGGCAGTGAGACCTGTCATGAGCAGAGACAGCAGATGAGCAAGAGATGGAATAGCGGGCCTCCCTGGCTCAACTGAGCACCTTAGAACTAAGACTTGCTGGCTGAGTGGGGCGCCTCTGGGCGCTTACTGGTAGAACTACAGAGCTGTGTAACCCTGGCATGAGCAGGGCAAAAGGGCCAAGAAACCAAGGCAGAGAGAGGCATGCATGTGAGCACAGCTGAGGAAAGCTGGCCTGACTGTTTCCTGAGGAATTTGATTCTCTATGGTAACATGTTACTTCTGTGACAAACACCGTATTTTTGGATATTGTCTGTGAGTTCTGTGTGGCGACTGCAGTGAATTACTGACATCAGCAGAAGAGGAGAGACTGTCATGCGGAGGATGGTTGGTATCAGAATTGATAAACAATGTGTAGGATGTATGTCTAACCCCCACCTCATAGGAATTAGCCTTGAGCTGTTGATCTTGATTCTTCTTCCCCTT